GCTGCAATATGCTTTTTATAAAAGACTGACCAGAGCCTTTGGTAATAACCCCACAAAAAGATGATCTGTACAATGTTTTTACAAGGTAAAAACTTCACTCTTACCTTCCCAAGGTTTTCTTGTTCCAGGATCATTCGTGTATACTGTTCTCTAAAGGAAACATAAGATAATTTTATTATTTTATTTGGTTCTCTGCAATAGGACAGAATAACGTTGCAAACATGGAAAATTCTGGAAGTATTGGGAGGTTCATAAAAGACAGAAGAGGAAGCAGGAAGAGACCTTTTTGTTATTGGACAACACATCCCTTAAGTATCAAGGGCCAGATCTCTTCGATTCTCCCAGCTGTGCAGCTGGGAAAAGTGATACTGGATAAGATCTCTCACATTTTTGCAGCAGGCATGATTATCGCTCCTTCCAGCTTGAAGACAACAGCCAGATCATTTAGATAAGATATACCTGATCCCTTTTTAATAATGTATTTATCCCAGTGACATTCTGAGGTTAGCCAGTGGCCTCGTGTGTACAAACATCAGAGTTTACAAATCCACAGCCCCTAACTGCTGTGAACGCAGCATTGGAATGAGGGGGAAAATACAGGAATGAAGGGGAATAGGATTTCACCCCAGGTTTGACAAATCCAGTGACTGCAGTGGAACCGCTGTGCGTTCCTCACTTTCAGAAAACAGCCGTCACATTTAGGTGCCTAAATATAGGCTTAGAAGCATAACTGCTGACATTCATTATTAAAAATCTTGGCTGTACACCTTTGTCTGTTACAAGAGGCCGGATCACTTTATGACATATGCAAACCCGATACATGAAACTTGACAATATGCAAACCGTAACAGCACGATTCGGATACGTTACCATGTACTTATTTTTAAATGTTTTGAAATGTGACAACAAAAAAAAAACAACTCTTCACTGATTAACTTGAAAAAATAAATTAATTATTATATTTCATGTGTAACAAGTACACTTAGAGGCTGAGAGTTTGCTAGCGGAATTCAAAATAACCCAGCTCATCTAAAGAAATTTCCAAACTGCTCAGGGTGTAAGGCTTTTGCACAGAGAAATCCTAATTTCCAGAAAGTAATATCAGCCTTCATGATACCAGAGTGTGAAGGTTTGCGAGAGCACAACGAGCAGCCGTGCAGAACCAAGGCATTGCGTTTCTCATATTCCTTCCATTTCTACTAAGTCCTTCAGGCTCTCGACTGGAGCACTTGGGCCCCCAGCCACCTGGTCCTGCCTGCCACACTCCCTGCAGAATGGACATGCGAGGAATGAAGCAGGATCATTTTATGGTCTCTCACTCTTGGACAATTCTGGCCAGAACAAATCAGAGCCATCTTGAGGCTCCAAGTGCTGTGCTGCACAGCTGATCCCTCGCAATCCTCACCAAAGCAAAGAGATGGAACGCCACACTGCATCTTCGTATTTCCACTGGCACACGGCTTATGTTCACACACACACTTGGCCTCAAGAATATACTTTTTTTTTTTTTTAAGTAGACTTATCAAAGTAATCATCAGATTAGATGTCTTATCCTAGTAAGTTTTTCTTTACTATTTATAATGATGACTGGAAAGAATGCAACTTAATAAGTTCATTAAAAAACCCACAACTTTCTATTTTTAGAGAAGAAAATGAACTTTTCACATTCCTGAGAAGTGACTCCACGGAACGGAGAGTTTATATTCAATAAAGAGGGTTGGAATTAAGACATTTTTTGTTCAATACGTTGTTAGGAAAGTACAGTTCTATTTATGGTTCATTTTCACTCCGTTTACATTCCAGTCCCTGCTGAAAAATACATTCACATTCTAAAAGGATGTCTAGGAAAAATTTTATCATCTCATTTTATATTTTGCAAAGATCTCTACATGGAACTTTCTTGTAATTAATTTAAATGCGATGAGTCTGTGACCTCTTACAGAAGGTCAAAAATGTGTATAGTCACTGTGAGAGGATAATTTCCCTAGCTCCTGTGCCCGCAGTTAGCAAGTGAAACAGGGACAGCGGAGAGTGTGGTAATGCTCCGTCCACATTCTCCTCACCATACCTGGAATTACAGAGCTGGGCTCACGCTTAACTCCAGCATTTGGCTGTGATGGTGTGTCTGTGTGAATGCTCACGTTGTGGATGCTCATTTCACAAGTATTTCAGCTGGAGCATTTTTTACTCTGCATCTGTGAATAAACTCAGACCCTCCCCTTCCCCACGAGGCCATAAAAGGATAGTGCCTGCCGTCTGACCCGCATTTCCTCTCAGCTGCCTGGCTGAGCTGTCTTGCCTTTCATCCTCATGAATATTCACACCATCACTCAGATTTTTCTCACAGTCACTTCTCTTTTCATCCTTCTGCTTAATTTTGCTGTTTCATCATCTTTCATTAGACAAACCTTCCACTACTTTGTGAGATGGAATAAGAGGCTTCTTAGCTGCACCACATTCTATCTCTTCGCCCTCTTCTTCTCCCACCCCAACATTAATAATTTTGATTATTTTCTTACTCTTATTTTCCCCACATTGTTTGCTACCTAGTGTTTAAATACTTTCATGCCTCAGATCCCTGCAGAAGGTCTCTGTGACGGATATTAATCTAGCCCTTCACTTCCTAGTGACCTCTGCCTCACGTTCTAGAGCAGCAGGAGATGCAGCTCCACTGGTACCAGTGCAAGGTGCATCGGGACAACTTCCAGTTCTTGAAGGGAAGAAGGAAGAAGACTTCATCTCTGTGTCTCCTGAGGGAATTCCTCGACTTTCCTCACTCAGTTTGACAAATGGCTATTATCCCTGTCAATGGCCCCATTCCAGAGACCATAAAAATCTCAGTGGTCAGCTACTGCCTTTTTTCACTCCACAGTGTGTGAAGAAATTGCCTCAGGTGGTGCAGAATGACATTTGCTTACATATACTACCAACTAACCACGCCTCCTGCGTTGCCACCACTGCAACAGAAAAGTCCAGTAATTATTTGGAAAGGCAGAAAGTCCTAAGAGGACAGATGTCTTGGGAAATTAATTTATTCTTTAATCTCTTACTGGTTCTTTTTTCCTGTTGTGATGTCAGCATGCTAGATGGTCTGAAACTTCCAAATGGAATGTAAAATGCAAAACAGAATCCACTCATGATGAGTATATGCAGTCCTCCATTCCTGCACCAGCGATGGCGATAGCTATTTTACTTGAAAGAACAGAAGATTTGCAAGAAATGACCAGGATCTGAGGGCAGCACACGGCTGCTCTCTGAGTAGTGGTAGACCTTCTACTCCTGCACGCTGGAGTCTCAGGGGAAGCCTGGCAGAGGCATTATGCCTTGTAGGGCCACACTTCCTGTGGGACCCAGCTGAAGCACAGCTTCTCTGTGCTTGTGCCAACACGGGCTGCAAGTTAAAACTGCTATCTGGGGCCTATAATCTCCAGCAGGACGGGAAAATCTTCTGGTATGTCTGAGAGAACTCGCAGGTTTACAGCAGTATATACTGGAATTCAAGATGCTTATTTTTAGATTATTATAGTGTTTCTAAATTTATCAGGTGAACTCCTCCAGTTGAAATGCCGGTGAGAAAATTCCTAACTTCAACCTCAGTTAATGAATATCCTTCAAGTCAACCCAAAGGACACACATTAATACACTCACCGAATGGCCCTTCTTCTCTCCTGCGGGTCTGGGGAGACATATGCCTTCATTTCTTCTTTAGCACGCTGCAGCTGTATTTCTAGATTCTATAAAGAAATACATAATTAAAAAAATATATATTACAATTGGATTTCATTTCACAATGAACAATTTGGTCCCTCTCGTAATCTTACCCTTTTCATGCAGTTAATGTAACGGTAGTTGCTTTCTTCCTGAACACACTCTTCAAGAAGTCCTTTCACTTCCTGTAGTACAAGAGTAAGATTTCAGAGGACATCGTAACAGGAGATGCCCTGTGTTGCTGCATAGACCATGACAGTCCGTAAAAGAAACAGGGATAATACTGAATTGATAATTTCTTAAATGTTTATATAGTCTGGGCTTTACAGAAGTCCCTTTTCAAGTGAAAGACAATTCATTTTTTTAGATTTGCCATTTCAGTCACAATTAGAGATGCTAAATGATTGTTAATAGGTGTTTATTAGTATTACTGACTTCCAACAGACACTTCACAAGTCCTGTCAAGAGTCTTCTTCCTAAACACATCTCAAGCAATAAATACAGTTGTGAATAAGCACTGCCTGGAACACATCTGCAAAATGTGTGTTAGAAGCTACAGACATGTTAATAATATGTTAATTAGCAATCAATAATTATGTTGAGGAGTATGGAGATGGTGGGTTAGTCTCATCTCTAAATGGTCTATACCAAAAAAACCTAATAATCCAAATGGAATTCATATCCTCTGGTCTCACAGCAGTTGTCAGCTCCAAAGCTTTGTCACCGTGTGATTTTCAGCTCATCAGCTGGAAAACTGAATTGTACTGTTCAGCTGCAGGAGTTTGCTGACAGTCACGTCCAGCTTAGTCAGGGGATGTGATTGTCATCATGTGTTAGAAAATGACTAAGATTTGTCTGCCAAGAAAAAAGCCTCTATTGCTATTGTAAAATAGTTCTTACAGAAGGTCTACTTCATAGCAGGTTCATCTGTGGATTCCTTTATTTTGCTTTAAGCCATACAAACGTACTTTTAGTGCAGGAGAAGAATCATCTATATATCCACCCACACTTTAAATGTACGCCTTTCTTATTCTGAAATATATTCTTTATGTGGGCAAGGCTTGAAAAATCAAGCCCAGACAAAGTTCACAGGAGGTGACTGAGTAAGATAAAGCGATTCGTATAAACACATTCGTATGTCTGTCTCCACCTTAAAGGATTGCGGTGGTTTAGGTACCTCCCTTCCTGAAAGTGCTATAGTTCAAGCAATGCATAATGTAATGAATCTGCTAAATGCATATAAAGATTTGTCTTGATAAAATAATGCTTATTTTATGGTCAAATTCTTTCCTAGCAGATACTATCTAGGTCAGCAGGATTTCTGGCAGATGCACCTCCTTTTACACTATTCTTGCTAATCAAAGCTGGATGTTGGTGGATGGACTGATGTACCGCTGAGTTCAGTTGTTGCCGTTCAGAACAGGAGATGTGTGTGACTGTTGCGAGTCCTCAGCAACTTCAGGTATGATTTGCATAGCTGTGGATCACCACTGAATCATTTCCACCTGAAGTGGATTTGTAGTTTCCACATCCAGAGGGAAGGCAGAGGAAACGCTGTACCCCGGTGAATACCACGTTGCACAGCATTTATTAATGTGCATGAACAAGCCACCATCTTACCTGTTCCAGCGTAGAGCGATTGCTCTCTAACCCTGCGGCACAACTGTCGTATTGGATTTTTTTTTCATCGCATTCTTGAGTTAATTCCTTATGTGAAAAGGGCAGAAGGGTACATAAATGAAATCTTCAATTGACTGACGTGACATTCAAGCAGACTGTGTTCTTGTCAGTCTCACACATCAGCCTTGCTGTTGGCACACTCGCAGTCACTTACATAAACCCAGCAGGCACAGGGTATGATTACACCCAGGGAAGCCACGAGCCTCCTCTCGCATACTGGCGGATCAGCTGTATACACCACAACACAGCACGCAAATTTCCTCCTTACAGCCACTGCCACAGCTTTAGTGTGGTTGGGTAACACCGCAGTGTTTGCAAGAAGAAAGGAAAAATAATTCTAAAAATAGAAATTAAGAAAGGATTCATATATACTTGCTACCTATGAAAAGCCAGCTTTCTAGTTGTACAAAGCAAACGCCTTAGCTGGATTTTATTTGCTGACACTTTTAATAGAGCCATTAAGAGTCAGTTTTCTGGAAGCCCAGTCGATAGGTAAATGGATGGCTCTATTTACTTCGCTGGCAATGAGCCAACTTAGAGCAGCTCTGGACCCAAGTTACTTTTTTTTAAAACTCTCTATAATCTGAAAACAAATGGATAAATCTGTTGTTCCTACAGGACTAATAGAGGATGTAGATCAATGTATTCAACTATACGGATGAGACATTATTTGCAATCCTTTTAAAAGGAGAGCGTTAGTTGAGATCATTAGTGCTGAGGTGCAGAAAAAGCTTTGAAACCAATTTGAAAACTCACTTTCCTATGGTTTTGAACCATGATTTTAAAAATTTTCCCCTGGTGTAGTAATTGTTTTTAATTGCTATAAAGGACAAAATTTTCATCCTGATTTTGTGCCTGCACTGTCAGCTTTTACAAATTCCACTCTTTAACATGTTGCTGTTGCAAATCACTGTTCACCCATACTGCTATTCCCAGCTTTCCTTCTGAGTTGATTATGTCCTTGTGCAGCACTACAGAAGTCCGTAAATTAGACTCATTTGTGATTCTGACTTTATTTACATAGAACAAGAGAAGTGTTTCTACTAACCTGGCATTTTTGACGCAACTGTCTCAGTTCTTTGATAACAGGAGCAAGGCTTGCCTTCTTCTCTGCCACCACAGCATTCAGCTTTTTTACCTGATAGAGCAACAAAATAATACACATTAATACCATGATATTAATAGTATATTTACACAATTAGGAATGTGAAAAGAAAGAGGAGCAAATCAAAATATGGAGAGAAAAAAACGTGTGATGAAGCTATGTATAATAGAACAAGTTCAGGCCTCATGAGCACTGGGAAAGAGCCCATCTTGCACTGGGGTCATTGCCACAAATGAAGAATTCTGCTCCCATTGTTTCAACTGAGAACATCACTGAGAAGTCCAGAGGACAGCCAACGTGCCAGACATCAAAAGAGCTTAAGGAGTAGGGAAAATGGAGGAGTTGCATAGAGGTGGACTGAGAGAAAGGAAGAAATCCTTACAAAAAACAAACAAAACTGCTTGCATAGGTTAAAGTTTGAAAATGCTAAAACAGAGTTGCTTTAAAATATTTCCACTGAAAATTCAAATTCGATCCAGCCTTCTATCTAGAGTCATTCTGTTTTAATTATACCACTTTATTTTAGAAGTGCTCTAATGATTTCAAAGAATGCTGTTTGGCTTTTTGCTCTTTTATAATATTTTCAAATTAGAAATTCAAGTTCTGTCTTGCTTCTATGGCTATGTGGGAAGTTAAATAGAAATTAAATTAAAAGAACGCACATTTCAGTAAACTTTTTCAAGGTTACCTTTGTAGATGTATACTGTTTGAAGACATATTTTTATATATGTATATCTAAGCATAGATTAAAAGAAAATTAAAAACCCAAACAAAAATATTAAACTTCATTTTATATGCTGAGGAACCAGATATTCAAATTGAGGAAACACAATATTTGAGCACTAAAATCACCATTTCAGACATGCTATCCAGTGTGCGGCCTTTCATTTCATCCATTTCACTCTTTACTGCAGAGACTCTTTCCAGCTCCTCCTGGGTGTAACTATATCCAGAAATACCTTTCTTGTCTTCAATAGCTTGCTGTAGACACAAAAAATAAATGCTGAATGCGAGTCCATTAATCAATAACACAGCAAATTCCTTCACAGAGCCAAAGTATTGTAAGAAAGTGGAAAAGGTAAGTACTGTAATAAATTTATTTTAAGAGTGATTAATAATCTAGCTGCCACAACAACTAACTTTTGATCTAGTGCCTGTAGGGTAGGATAACAACAACTTCCTGTAAATACACTATTTGGTCATCCAGCGCCCAATTAAATTAACAGAAAGTTTCCACAAAGCAATGTGGGCTTTGGGTCAGGCTCTGAAGAAATTCAATATGCAAATCCAGATGCTTAATCTGAAGATGTAGCTAATTATTTTTTAATTTAGCTTTGTCAAGCAAAACTAAGTATTGTACTCATTACAGTAGTACTAATACCATCTTACCGAATTCTAGCATTACATTACATCAACTTTACATTTAATTACGTGTTGATGTAATGGTCTTTAGCAATGCCTGCTCATTAAGTACGTAAGGAGGGCATTTTCTGTAATCTGAAAGCCAAGTGTTGATTAACGCAACCACAATTTGTTAAAAAGCAAAACATTCATTCTTAAAGTGCCATATCTCTATGAACTCCAATCCATTATCCTCAAAAACCTTTTACAACCACATGTTTAGGACAAGATTTATCTCTACTAATACCTACTTCTACCGTGACGGCAGAATTCTGCAGACTTGAACAGCAGTGTGTAGTTTGACAGGGCGCTATGCCCAGGGCTAGAAAAAGTACATTTGATTCTAGGGGGGGAAAAGTGTGCGCTAGTCATCTGGTGGTAAGAACGTTACGAAGTCAAAGCTCTGCAGTTTGACTACAAGGTAGTTTAGAAAAGGTCAGACTTAAATGACAATATGCTGCTGACCATGTGTAGCCACTGCACAGAAAGACTCCTGGTGCTTTGTCCCTGCTGTGATTTTCCTGTGAGATGACTAGTCTACGTCAGTTGTCCTGCTGTAAACAAACACTTCATAAGAGAAAAAAGACACAGTCACACACCTTCCTTGTAGCTGAGCAGCAATCCCAAGAAAAAGCTCTGATCCTACTGCTTAGGTGCTTCTTTCTACCAAGGCGGCAGTTGTGGTTTTATTTTTATTTAAACACTGAATGCCCTATCAAAACAGCATGGCATCATCCACTGCATCTGTCAGAGTATCTTTCCAAAGTCTAGCCCATTTATTTTCACACTTTCAATTTTATTTTAAAAATATAAATACTTCTATGTTTAAAAATGCAAAAGATGTACTTACAACAAAACAGATACAAGGTCAATAAAACCCAAATATTTTGAAAACAAGAATACTGGTATTGGAAGAAAATACTACAGCAGTAAATTTTTGGGAACTAAAAAGGGAATGTCTTTGCATTTGGGATGCATGTATATTCCTTGAATGCTTACAGTTATGCGATTTTTGGGAACTAAAAAGGGAATGTTTTTGCATTTGGGATGCGTGTATATTCCTTGAATGCTTACAGTTATGCATAGCAGAAATCCTTCTCCTGCTGTTCTGGCTTAGACAAAGCATCCATCCAGTCTTAATTTTTTTCACTTGCTGTGAAACATTTTCTTCTAAATATTCCAGGGTTAGAATGTTTCCTTCCTGCCTGCTCTTTTTAAAAATACTTTTCCTATCTATTTCGCAGCAGTAACTTGAAGCCTATTTGCTGTTGATAATTTTCAAAGCCCTTACTATATATGTGGATACCAAAAACTAATTTAAGAATCCAGCCTTGCTCTAACTGGAGTTAGTGAAGATTTACCATTGCCTTTAAAAAGCAGGGTCAAGCCCCTCAGTCTAAAAAGAAACTGCAGAACAGTCATGGCTGCCTGTAAGAAACAGTTGCTGAACATAAAGTACAGCAGCTTAGCACAGGCAGAGACAAAAATAAATTTTATACCCTAATGACTCTTTTACTAATGACAGCAGGAGGGCTGAGGATGCCATACATTAGAATCTAACCAAACAACATCCATCTCATTATATAGCTGTGAGCAGGGAGGGAAGGGTGATGGACTGTGGGAGCAGTGAATGCTTGTAATTACCAACTGCTGCTGAATAGCCTCGTGGCGCTGTTTTAGAAGTTCTTCTGTCCTCTGGAGGATACCATACTCAGCTGTAATTTCTGCTATTTCCAGTCGCTTCTTTTTATAAAATGTGTTCTTGCTCCGGAGCTTATTAACATAGTGTTTAAGCTGGAATGAGAGAGAACAGAAATATAATTTAACTTAAAGCAAAAAAAGGGCCTTATCAGAGACTGTTGCTCCATAAAAATCTAATTATTCTATTTGGACTGCATACTGAAGATCAAGTGTTAAGAACAGAGGACTGGAATTCAGGATTCCCAGGGTCTATTTATTTTCAGCTTCACATTTGTTCACCGAGATCAAGAAAACCAGCTCCATCGCTTTCTGTCCCAGCTCACCCATTTGTAACAGTGAGATCATTCACTTCTGCTTACCA